ATCATAGACCTTCAGCAGCATCATAGACCTTCAGCAGCATCATAGACCTTCAGCAGGATGCCTTCAGCAGGATCATAGACATCTTGAAATCTCTCAAAGTCATGACAAAGAAAGACCCAGAAACTGTCTCAGACTCATGAGAAAAAAGATGTGACAACCAGTTATGAACTATTATGCTGCACAGGACTCACTGGGACTAGATAGATAAACCTAAACATGAAGACTGCCTCTGTATGGTCCAATGTCACTGCCAAGTTCTGAATTTGGTGATTCATTGTAGCTGTATGGGGGGAATATCCTTATGGCAACAAATACACAGTAGGATTAAAACATTACCTCCGGTGCCTCTCACTGAAGTGGTTTTCTAAAGAAGGTTCTTTCTGCCGCATGTTCAGATTTTGTAATCATTTCAGAGTTGAAAACAGTATATGCATACATTTTAAACTAAATAATTACTATTTAAGATGTGGTCACTGAGGCCAAACAGGCTAAGAATATCCTTTTTTTTCTACACTGCTTATCATCGTCATCATCATCATCACCTTTCAGTAATTTTAATTCAGGCCAAGAATGGCAAACACATGGTGAAGATGAAGGTCATCACTCTATTAAAAGGGTAGCCTGATGTATAAATGTGTCAGCCAGAGCATGTGATAGGTGAGGTTTGAATCTCACTGGTTTCACTTGCTTGTACGTAGTCTTGGGCAAGCTAGGAACTTCCCTGTGTCTCTGTTGCATCAGTGTTAACACAAGGATAGTGGTGATATCTCAGGGAGTATTATGAAATCTAAGATAACCCACTTGATATTCTGAGTACAACATATGGTACATGGCCCATCCTCAATTAACGCTATTATGTTATTTGTGTTAGATGTGACTTTATTGATAGAGTATAGCAGTCTTCTTGCTGAGCTATGACTAACTAGTTTCTACATATTCTGCAGCATCCCCCTATTAATCAGTCACAGATAGGATTAAGATGAAGTCTATTTTATTTCAAATTTTTTTCCAGTAAACATCATTCAAAAGAAATAAGGACTAAAGCCTAGAAAGCATGCAACCTATACTTGGCCCCCATGATTTTAATTCATGCAACAAATTTTCATTGATTAGTTATTATATTCTTGGCTCAGTTCCAGGTCTTTTTAGTGAACCAGACATGGAGCTCCCTAAAATGGGATTTAATTAGATTAGACTGGACAGAGGGTAGAAACAGTAAAAAATAAGCAAATAATATAGCATATTAAAATTAAAATATTCCAGAATAGTTGACAGCACTTTTTCTTAAAAAA